CTGCTACTGCTGCTGCTGCTGCTGCTGTTGTTGTTACTGCTGTTACTACTGCTGCTGTTGCTGCTGCTGTTACTGCTGCTGCTGCTGCTGCTGCTGCTGCTGCTGCTCCGGCTGCTACTGCTGCTGCCGCTGCTGCTGCTGCTGCCCCTGCTACCCTTGCTGCTGCTAGGGCTGCTACTGCTGTCGATAACAGTCCTGTATTATAGTGTCCACGCCACCTCCAGTGACTACAACCTGGATCAATTCATCCAGTTTCACTCCCTCGCTCGAGCAGTTTCCTCCCCGCAGCACGTTAAACCTTGAATTCCGATATTCCTGCATCTGACGAAGAGCTACTAACAATGAGCACAGCCGCCACACTATATAGGGGTGACATGCAAGTATTCGACACACTAACCAACCTGGAATTTGGATAGCATCTTCAATCAACTGAGTAATTTTCCGCTGAATTGTTCACTGAATTTCTCTCAGAATCGATCACCTGCGTTCCATACCTGTCGTCAGAAACACGCCAGTCCTAATTTATGTTACTGTCTACTTGAGTAGTTAAAAATAATGAGTATTAATTATTGTTATAATTATGTGTATTATCATAATTATAATATTAATTTATAATTATATTAATAAAGTATATATTGATAAAATTTATTAATAATTTATTAATAATTTAATATTAATTTAAGTATATAAATTAAGTAAAAGTAATAAACAGTCAATGTTAGTCCTAGTCGTAACTTCACGATATCACTGACAGCGGCATGCCTTGCCCGACGATGTGTTTTCTCTAGGTGGTGTACTTCACAGCGCTGTTTCCCTACTTCTGCATGATCGTACTGCTCATCCGCGGCTTGACCTTACCTGGAGCCATCGACGGTATCAAGTTCTACTTCATGCCCGACCTCTCACGACTGCTCGACTCGCAGGTGCGTTTGCTCATCGTCATTTTCGTCGTCGTCATCGCCATTTTCCTCGTCGTTGTCGTCATTGTTATCATTGCTTTCCTCGTCGTTGTCGTCATTGTTATCATTGCTTTCCTCGTCGTTGTCATTGTTATAATTGTTTTCCTCGTTGTTGTCGTCATCGTCATTGTTTTCCTCGTCGTTGTCGTCATCGTCATTGTTTTCCCCGTCGTTGTCGTCATCGTCATTGTTTTCCTCGTCGTTGTCGTCATCGTCATTGTTTTATATATATTAAGAGCATAATTTAAAGAATTATATGCTTCTTTTATATGCTTTATATGCTTTTTATATGTCTCTTGATATATATATTATTATATATATATATATATATATTATATATTATATATATTATATATTATATATATATGGTACATATGGCTGCGTCTATCCATACTTGCGGCAGTGCGATGAACGCGCGCACGTAGCCTATAGTCGATATGTAGAATGAAGTCGACTGCATTTAAGCTTTATTTCACGTTTGTTCGTGATAGATTGTTAAGTATTGTCACGAAGAGTAGGGAGCGCACCACTCGCAAACAGAGATAGATGACTGCAGTGATCGTCATTACGTGCTGCAGAATAATTTGAATACATTTGCGCAGAAGGAATACCGTAATGTCCGAATACCGGAGGAATAAGGACAATGAAACGAATTCTGCAGCACGTATATGATACTCGTATACAAAACCTAACTAACGAGGGCCTCAAAAGAGTGCATACTCCGCGAGCGTGTAGCATGTTACATGTGTATAACAGTTGGCTGGCTGCTGGTGCTGCTGACTGATAGCCCTATAGGGAGGCTGCTGCTGATGACGCCCTAAGTCGAGCTGGTGCTAATGTGCGCCAGGCGTGTAAATGTAGACAGTGTATTACAGCTTGGCTGCTGCTGCTAACCACGACGAAACACACGACACCACGAAGCACACACGAGGGGATCACATTACCTCCTGCAAGGTAGGGGGTAAATGTCGAGTGAGCGAATCACATAGTTATGAGGGGGCAGAGTGCAGCATCGTAGGCGTGCCACCACTGGATATTTGTATGTTTGCTATAGTTAAAATGAGGGTCGCAAATGTCTGCGTGTTGAGTGCGTGCGGTGTGTGTATGTGTGTGGTGTGTGTACTGTGTGTGTGTGTGTATCGCGTTTGTGTGTGTTTGTGTGCGGGCGGGTGTGTGTGTACGTTGTTGCGTGGGTGTATGCGTGTGTGTGCTGTGTGTGTGTCCGTGTGGTGTGTGTGTGTGGTGGTGTCGTGTGCGTTGTGTGTAGTGCGTGTGTGTGTGTGTGTGTGTGGTGTGTGTGTGTGTGTGTGTTGTGTGTGTCCCCGAGCGGCGTGTGTGTGTGTCGTGGTTGCGTTGTGATCGTGCGTGTGCTGTGTGTGTGTGTGTGTGTGTGTGTGTGTGTGTATGTTGTCGCGTGGTGTTGGTGTGTAGTGTGGTTGCGTCGCCTTGACTAAGTGTACATGTGCTGTGTGCGGTAAAGCGACGTTTATATACGAGTCCCTAGTCGA